TTTTTGCGTTGAAGTGTGTGTTAGGGGCACCAAATTTAGGCGCAGGCACTGTTGTTTTTTGCGTTGAAGTGTGTGTTAGGGGCACCAAATTTAGGCGCAGGCACTTTAGGTAAAGAAATCCCCTGAGCGACACATTTAAACTCTTCCTTTGCTCTTGAACCCATGGCAGACTGTGTCACCAGCCGGTACGTAGACAGCTGCAATGGTGCAGAGATGGGTTGCGCCCAGTGTTTCCAGCACAGGCACGTTCACAGTGACAGACGTTTCCTTTCCGGCACAGGCATTCCTTGATCTGTTGAATATCGAAGCAAAATCTAGCTTCATGATTGCAAGAAGCTGTGCTAGGTACTCAGACAGACATCTCATAGCCAGGACTGAGAAAGGATACTAGTAGTAGTTGTAGTTGTAGTAGTAGTAGTAGTAGTAGCAGCAGCAGTAGTAGTAGAAATAGAAACAATGTAATAAAAGTAATAGGTAATAATGGAAATACGAGTAGTAGAAGTAGTGGCAGCAGCAGCAGCAGCAGTGGTAGTAGTAGTCGTCGTCGTCGTCGTAGTAGTAGTAGCAGTAGGAATAGTAGTGGTAGTGATTTTTTGTGATATTTGGCAAGTCAACTAACTAACTTGCAACTGCTAGGCACTTGCCTTAATGTGGAAAGTCTCTTCTTGCGCAACTGTCTCTTGCTCGCATGTTACTGCCATAGCCTCAAGCCAAGGAAGGCTATCGGTCCGTATCGGGTTGGCCCCTATCGATTACGCCGAGTCTTGATCAGCTCTGAGATGCTGACGGCGTCTCCTTTATAAAGTGCATTTACGGAAGTCTTGTCGGACGCTCATAGAGTTAACTCATGCAGTGATGCCACGCCAACGTGACGGCCTTGGAGTGACGTGACGGTGACGTGACGGTGACGTGACGGTGACGTGACCGTGACGCTGACGTGACGGTGACGCGCCGGTGACGTGACGTGACGTGCGCGACGTGACGCTGACGTGACGTAGTGACGCGCCGGTGACTGACGTGACGCGTGTGACGTGACGCTGACGTGACGTGATGACGCACCTGCCCGGCGTCCCGAAGGCGGACCGTTATGCGGTCTGCCCACACACTAGAAGCAGTCACGCGAGCGTTTCGTACGAGACTTCCTCCTAAAGTCACGCGTCAAGTCTCCAAAACGGAGCGTTTCGTACGAGACCTCCTCCAAAAGTCACACGTCAAGTCTCCAAAACGAGCGTTTCGTACGAGACTTCCTCCAAAAGTCACGTGTCAACTCTCCAAAACGAGCGTTTCGTACGAGACTTCCTCAAAAACTCACGTGTCAAAGTCTCCAAAACGAGCGTTTCGTACGAGACTTCCTCCAAAAGTCAAGCGGAAACACCCATCGGAGCACACACATCACGCAGCCCTGCCAAGCAGTTTCGCGATTCCAGCCCCTCCAAACAACACCCGCTCACACGCCAATCCCAATGAGACAACGACAGTCACCTCTACCACAACTCACAACCTCACGATTCCCTGCGCCTGCCACGCATCTTTCCGCGTCCACACGTCTAACGCGCACAAAGTACTGCGCCTGCCACGCAATGTCACCTCCGTCACACCTCGCAACCTCACGATTCCCTGCGCCTGCCACGAAAATCACACTTCCATGCCTCAAAACCCGCACAAAGTACTGCGCCTGCCACGAAAAGTGACAATATCATCTCATGTGAGCTTCAACAAAATTTGCACCACACCACACGTTTAGAATGATTTCGACCCGTTCTGAGCACACTCCCATCCACCAAAATCGCCATTTCAGCTGAGACTTGTCACGAAAACAGAGCTTCGAGGCCACACCCTGAAATGCAAATCCCAATGGCACGGCCACATCCAACACCCCAAAAACACGACTCTCCAAACGCTAATCCCAATGGAACTGCGCAGTAAACTGCGGATCTCTCAAACCACTGCGCCTGTGCAGCGAAATGCATCACGCTTCTTGCGCGACATGTCATTTTCATGCAAATCACAATGGAATAGCGTCGCAAACTGACACGTGACACATCCATGAAAAGTCACTTGCAAAAGCTTCCCCCAATGGCAGCGCCTTAGCGTCCTACTGCGAACGGTTGCGAACGGTTGCGAACGGTTGCGAACGGTTGCGGACGGTTGCGGACGGTTGCGGACGGTTGCGGACGGTTG